GCATTGTCCCAATGAAAGGCATTCTTCCTCAGCAGGTTGGTTAATGGGGCAACCATCATGCCATAATTCTGTACAAATTTGCGGTAATATCCTATCAAACCGAGGAACCCGCATAGAACCTTGGCGGATTTGGGCTTGGGCTATTCTTTGATCGCTTGATGTTTTGAATTGTCCACTGTTACATCCTTTCCGTTAATGACATGACCCAAGTAAAGGACTTGGCGCTCTCCGAAGGAGCACTTAGATGATGCACGTGTTCTATCCATGTTTTATTGTAAGCCAAAATGTCGTCAAAGAATACTAAAACAAATTTGTGAAGGTGGGACTGAAATACCTCATTCATTAAGGACTGAAATGTGGATGGGGCATTTGTGAGACTGAATGGCATAACTAAAAACTCAAAGTGGCCATGATGAGTTTGGAAGGCAGTCTTCTCAATGTTTTCAGAAGCTATTCGAACTTGAAAGTACCCCGATCTTAGATCTAGTTTTGTGAAATACTAGGCACCATAAAGTTCATCTAACAACTCGTCCACAATGGGAATAGGAAATTTATCCTTGACAGTCCGGTTATTAAGCTCCTTGTAGTCAACACAAAATCTCCAAGTACCATCCCGCTTTGCCACCAACAGGACCGGGGAAGAAAAAGGGGAGCGGCTAAGGCGGATGATCCCCTGCTCCAGCATTTTATCACATTGCCTTTCTATCTCATCTTTCTACAGGTGTGGGTAGCGATATGGCCTTACTACTACTGGTTCCGAACCCGTCACTAGAGTGATTCGGTGATTGCAAGCTCGGGAAGGAGGAAGTCCTTTGGGTTCTTGGAATATATCTGAAAAATCAGCGAGGAGCCTTTCCATGGTTGCTGCGTGTATCATTTGATCTTGGAGCACATGAACTTGTAGGTATTTGGCCTTCACCACTTTACCCTTCATAGTGACTTGCTTTCCATTCAAATGGAAGGTCATCGTTAGGGCGTTGAAATCCCATAGGATTGGGCCTAGAGTGATCAACCATTTCACACATGGAAACTTGATATGTGTTGAATGGTAGATGCATTTTTTCATGTGAATTATATATACCATATACAGAAACGACTTAGATAAATTGATAATTTAGAACAGAGCATGCATAGACGTTGACTGAATTCATATTTATTAGTATTATAATCATCTCCTCCCTCGACCTTCAACATGATTGGTTACTTTGAAATAAAATGGTTTGATTGTAGCTAGTTCATTGGGACATGTCTTCATGAAAGTTGGTTTAGATTGGAGGGACCTTTTATAATTAGTGTGGAGATACTATACTTATCCTGTAGTTCTGGGAGAGTGGATCTAGAAATAGAGATTTTCTTTGCTAACACAGTTATGCCGCTAGAACATTTTCATATTTTTAATAGCAGTTGTCATAGTAACAGAATTTGTAATGAATCATGCAGAGGCAACAAAATGTAGTGTACTTTTACTGTTTCTACATTGCAATTGGGCATAAACTGGGATGTCAGAGAAGAATTTTGACTGTTATTTGGTTTAGGATTATTTGACAGAAGATGTTGAGAGCATTGCTGGTTTTGAACCTCCTCAGTCACTAGATTCCAGTTGTATCTTGGTTCAGAGGATTATGCAAGGAACCACCTTTGGTAATTGGTACCTCCAAACCTGCAGATGGCACTGCTTAATGTGCCATTGTGTCACGGGGTTAATCGTTGGGGCCCCGTGCGGCACTCGAAATGGGCGAGTAAGCCTACGAAACAAAGCAAACACACACACAAAGGCAACAAGATGGCACACGAATTAGCAAAAGGCTATTTGTATTGCATTAATCAGTGGTAAGCACAAGCACACAGTACAGTGTCGAGGGGATCTCGTGCTTAACCTTTACAC